CCATAAAACTCACAAATGTTCTTTTTAAAAGTCATTTAAATTCAACTTTCTAGTTGTAATCTCTACTGTTTAAACACCTCTCTGTCCTGCTGTTGTTACAGATGTGAACTAACCACAGACACTTGGCTCGCTCATGGACTTACACCCTGTGGTGCACCAAAGTAAATAGGGAGTGATTTCGAACATAGCCATAGTCTGTACAGTTTGTCAGTGTTGCAACCTGCTGTTCATAAGTTCAAAGTTGGCCTAGTTATAACATTAGAGTTTACAGTCAAAGGTTATGCACAGCTAAATTAAAGCAGATTGTACCACACAATCTAGTTTATAGAATAACTCCCACATGTAATGGCTGTGTAGCTGAGAACAAACCGAACAATTTGCATCCAACAGAAATAAAAATGTGAAACAACCAGTCATTCATAATCTAACAGTTAATCTATAATTTTATGGTATCCGTCATTATGAGAACTTTTTCTTTTCGAAGTTGTGATGTTGTACTGAATATCAGTAATCAGCTGTGTATCAGCTGTGCTTGTCTCCATTTTAGTTAAATAAGCAACAACAGATTATGATTTGTTTGTTAATTGTATCATTTATTTGGCAACGGCAACACAAATAGTTCCGCAAATAGACTGGCACTGGACTGTTGCTAAGCAACACAAACATTTTCCTGACCTGCACAGTGCAAACTAGCTTGCTACTTTGTCTACACGTTACCTCAGGTGTGCGCTGGAGTATCCAGGCTTCTTCCTTTCATCCTCTTCTGACAACCAGACATCATTTAATTCAAATGTTATTTCTGGAAACATTTTCATCTTTGCAAAGTTTGTTACAATCTAAGAGAGACAACGACCGTTAATGTGACGCTGATTAACAGCTAATAGAACACCTGTGAAGCAGAGTGATACACGTAGTTAAAAGTCCCAGTGCTTTGTACTCTATCTCAGCACTCATGTAATGCCTCTCGTCCAATCAAATTATTATCATATTGCTAACTGTTGTATAATAATTGGTATTTACCGTTACAGAACTTACAACTCAGTCGGTAAAATGGAAAACATAGATTTGCCAAATTCCTATTACTGATGACTTAAATAGGTAGATGCATAAATACAGGATATACCTGGTCTATTTATGTGTAAATGCATCAGGTTTTGTTTCAGGGTTTCTACAGAACAGTGTCATGACTCATAGAAACTACTTCATTTGGTGGCTCTTGTTATTTGCAGAGATGTTTTTTTCTCCTGGTTTGTTTGGCCGGATTGTTCCTCTGTGTCCATCCTCCTCTCATCTTTCTGTCCCTCCCCTTGTTTGGGTTTGACAGGTTCCTCAACAGCTCTGCATCAGAAGAATTGACAAACAAAATTAACTTATTTTTTGTGTGGAAATCTTTCTAATTGTAGAGATGGGTTTCACCAGCAGGTGGCCTCAGAGAGCCATTTCAAATTTGCTGGTCAGTCAGTGCGGTTCAGTATTGATGTTCTCCTCTGTTGTGTGGTTGATGGTTGTATTTACCTGTAAACTCAGGATGACTCTGGCTGTGGTTGTTTAGGAGAGACACGTATTTCTGACCCCCAGTATCATCATCTGAAAGGAAGTAAAGTCATGAACTTTAATGTGCAATAAAACAGAGAGGCAAGAATAGTTCATCAGACATTTCCCACAAAACAGTCTATGTCCACCAAAATCAAAATATGATATACTTAAGAACAACTTTTATTATATATGTTTATTTACATTCTCCTTCCAAAGTTACAATTATACCGTGCAAGATGACAATGATTGTGTCAGTCAAACATTAACGGTACCTCTAAAACATTAAAAAGCACCATAATTTGTTTGTGCTGTCACTTATCATTGTTGACCTTTTTCCAAATCTTAGACAGCCTATTCAAACTTGGAATCAAACCAATCACGCCAGAGACTGAGAGAATGTTTTATTTATCTGGGCATCTGTACATTTAAAGTTCTGCTGAAGGTCGGAGTAGACGGACTTACTGCAGACTTGTAGGAGGACGTAGCATTGTCTCTCCACCAGCACGCTACTGGCCAGAGCCTCGCTGTGCTGCTTCGCCTCTAAGTTCATCACTGAACCACTGCTGTCCATCAGGTCCACGCACTCTACGACAAGAATGTCGTGGGTTTTAGTTCTTATTACATAATTAATCAAAAAGAATGTAGTGGTTTGTTAATCAGTACATGACACTGGTTTACAAATCTTACCAGATGTACATATTTATTATTTATATATTATGATTTATTCAAGTCATTGCTAATTGACTTTTTCTGACATAAAAAATGGGAGTTGGTTCTTCAGGTGCTTTATGATAAAGCGTTTAGCTAATACAGGTCCAGCCCAGTTGCCAGTTGAGTTTAGTATTCCTGCAATAAATCAGTAATAGATAGTATAGTATAGTATGGTGCAGTGTAGTGCAGTGTAGTGCAGTGTAGTGCAGTGTAGTGTAGTGTAGTGTAGTTTAGTATACTGCAGTGTAGTGCAGTGTAGTTTAGTATAGTGCAGTGTAGTGTAGTTTAGTATACTGCAGTGTAGTGCAGTGTAGTTTAGTATAGTGCAGTGTAGTGTAGTTTAGTATACTGCAGTGTAGTGTGGTGTAGTGCAGTGTAGTATAGTGTAGTGTAGTGTAGTGTAGTTTAGTATACTGCAGTGTAGTGTAGTGTAGTGCAGTGTAGTGTAGTGTAGTGTAGTATAGTGTAGTGTAGTTTAGTATAGTGCAGAGTTACAGATTCATTCAAGTGAATGGGAAAGTGGTCTTAGACCAGATGAATTGATTATTGTGCTTTCTATAATAATGACAGTATTAACAAAAAATAAATGCAAAGTAAACATCTCTATTGTGAATGCAGACCTACTGAAACCTACTTTATTTTATGATAGATAATGTATGTAACATGACTACAACAAAGAGCACTGAGCTTTACTGCCTTACCTTTGACTGACTGACAGTCAAAGACTGAGAGCATAATATTAACTAATTAAAGTACTACCTGACAACAACTTTGACTGTGCTGCTTTAGCCTCAAGAAGCTTCACCAGTAACTTAGGGCCAAATTTAGAGGAACACTCGAGGGCAAAACTAGTCTGCAGAGCACTCGCGGCTCTACTCGCTGCTGTCTCTGAAGCTTTTTGCTTTGAGCACAAGGTAATAACTGACTGAGACTCAGATGAGCATCAACATTTTCATTAAATCTTTAAATCTTCTCTCACTTGGACAATGGTCAGTAAGAGAACAAGGTTCAGAGAGACTTTCATACAAAAAAATCCACCAATAAAAGTGAAGGGGCCAAAATGGTATTTTGAAAAGTAAGGGGGGACATTTGACCCCTAGTCCCAGTGGAAATTATACCACAACAAATTTCACCTTTAAAGTCCAGACCACACCTCTCCTTTAGATGATGAAGGAAGTTTATCAGCCTACAGTTGAGATTCAACATTTCCATCCCGCTGTCTGTCGAGACATTTAGAATATTGCAGAAAATTTGCACTTTGATTATTTCATAAAACAAGTGTCTTTCTTGTCCCTGTACTCAGACATTTACTCTGGCAAAAAAAAACAGTTCACAACTAAATACTGATTGCTGAAACAAAGCAACTATTTACCAACATATCTATTATATGTTGCAGTTTTCCAGGAAACTCAAATACAATAATCAAACTTCAAATATATGTAATCCCACGTTGATTAGATAGATATATCCAGTAACGTTACTAACCTCCAAACAGAATAGTGACAAACATTTTCTGCTCCTGACTCCTCTGGTGCTGCCACTTCCAGCAGCTTAAAGCATCTGAGCCCAGGGAGCAACAAGCTTGGACTGGACACAAAGTGCAACAATAGAGGCTGTTAAATAAGTGTTGAGGGAGAGGCTGTACTGGCCTACATGTTGTCGAGATGGCAAATACACACACACACACACACACACACACACACACACACACACACACACACACACAGTTTGCATCCTCTTCTTCTTCTTCTTCTCCTCCTTTTCAGAGCTGAAGACTGTTAAATGAGAGGACAAGGGACTGCTGTTGTTTGTATCCATGGAGTCTCCACACACAGACAGACCAACACTCTGGACTTTATAGCTACTTGTTGGGAAGTGATGTCAAGACCGACTAAAAAAGGTTTTATTGTTTCCCGCCACAGATTGGAACTAATACGTTGAATGGCTCGACCCGACTCTGCTCTGCTGTGATACCTGTGACGGAGAGTTTTCATCTTGATTCTGGAGCTGAGGGAGTCGGTCCAAGTTTACTATTCAGTTTGCAAGAAAAACAAACTCCATTACAGAACCTACTTCTTTGCTCTGTTCCCACTATGGTAAGCATTAAGGTTGATGGCTGTAGCTCCATAGTTAGTATTGATTGGTGACCGTAGGGAAGAAAGCAGCGTATTTCCCAAAATGTCAAAATATTCCTTTGATATAAAATATTTATTAGAGCAGCTTTAAACTAAATGATTTACAAATAGATAAGAAAGCATGTATGGATCTTCTGCACTGACAACTGAGTTTTCTCACCAGATCTCCTATAGAGCTGCAATAGTATAAAAATCTTGAATGAAATCTTCATATGACCCAGCTGAGGGGACAAGCAAATCAGAGCACGAGGACTCAGGAGGTCTCTGTGGTGAATCTTTAAAAAAGCATTAAAGTCCCCAGGGGAGGTTTTCAAAAAGAAGTAGACTCTGCTCCCTGTAACCTGAACTCACGAGGGAATTGCAATGAAAGCTGGGAAAATAAAGAACTCCAAAGATAGTTTGAGTGCTTAACTAACCATTTCCCAGAATGAGCAAACCAGATCTTTGACTCAGTTCTGTGGACTGGCAGATCTGATATGAAACATGAGCCGGTCTGGTGACAAGCCAAATGGGCAGCCTGGAACCGTTCCTACAGCTACTGAATGACTGGGAACATTGCATGTCCGTTGCTGGATGTAAATACAGTACGTACACTTTGAAAACAATGGAATGGTTTATTTCAAGACAGGACTTTGTGCCAGTGTCCTCGTGAAAACACAGAAGGTAATAGCTGCACTGGACTGAGGATGAAATCATCAGAAATAATAAGAAACAGAAAATTCTTCCATGAGTTTGACTGAAGTCTAAAATGTAATCATTTACAAATTATTTACCATCAAACTGTGTCAGAGGTCATCATAAATTTGACTTAAATAAGCAAACAATCAAGTCACATTATCACAAAAATACAAAGCTTACATTTTAGCATTACATCACCAACTCTGAGGTTTATGTGAAGCTTTATCCATCATTGGTGAAGGTACTGTCCTTAATTTTTCTAGTCCAATTAGAAACAGCACAGGGCTCAAAATAAAACCATAACCCATTCATTTCTGTTGGTGATGCACATAAACTGCTGCAGAAAAAGCTGAAATTATAATGTGAACGACAGAAATCTCTAAGCATGAACTTTGCTTGGCAGGTTGGTGTCTGTGCATCCTGCAGGGCGACAGGACGGGAGGAAGCTAAAACATGTTGTAAGTGATGTTGCATTACTGTTTAAGAAATAATCCTCTGCTCATGTTTCAGTGGTGGTTTGTGGTGAAATCCATCAGACAGTGTTTACATCAACATCCCTGGAAATTAAAAAAAAAAATACAGTATCAATAATTTAATAACAAGATTTGTCTTTAACTAAAGGACTGTTGAGATCAGTAACAGCAAACTGATTCACACACAAGGGAGCATCTGTCAACCTGCAGTTGAACAAAGAGGGACGATCAATGCTTTTTCCATACTGTCCCTCTCCTATATGTTGGCTGAGCTTTGGTCGGTCTCACAAATTCACTGGTCAAAGTGCATCAATGAGCTCTAACTATTCACAAAGAGAAAGAGAAAGCATTTCGTGATGTTGTAGCTGCTTCTGATGTGTGAAGTGCCTGCACCTTAAAAATAGAATGGTTTAAATTAAAAAGTCACTATGTTTAAATTGTGGAGGCAGTTTTTTTGTGGTGAGGAGATTTAAGTTATCTCAGTGACATTCGTTGTCCATGATCAATTTACAGTGTTCCCAATTCCACTGTGGATCGGGATTTATCCCAGTCCTTTGACATCGACGTCCCTGCGTCAGGACACCTTTGCCACCTCGCTGAAGTAGCTCCTCCTGTCCTGCTTGTTGAACAGCGATGCGACCTGGGCAGAGCCGAGGTTCTGTCTGTCCTTATCCTCCATGACTGCTGGTCCGCTGCAGTCATCCTCAGACTGCTGATGAGGAGCCACTGGGATTTGAGTTTGTCTGAGGGCTTGCAATGGACACATCTCCATCTTAGGACAGTGGGAGATGATGACTGACAGAGGGGGGTGGGATACCGCCACCAGGCCTCCCCCTACAGGAGAGACTTGAGTAGGGCAGTGGTAGGAGCTCTCACAGCTGCTGCTGCTGCTGTGCTCAGTGAAAAGCTGAAAGCTGAGGCCGTTCGCCTTGAGTCTGATGGAGTCTGTGATGCTGTTGTGGGTGGAGTTGCGCATACTGCTGCCACTCTCCAGCAGCTCCTGCCGGCCCAGGATGTGGCGCCGGATAATCTTACGGAAGGTTTGTCTGAACTCCCGGATCCGGTAGGCGTAGATGAAAGGGTTGATCACAGAGTTGGCGTGAGACAGGATAATGGCCACATACATGATCCAGAGCGGCGGACGAGGACACTGAGGACAGAAGAGGGTGAAGCAGTTGATGATGTGTAACGGCAGCCAGCAAACCGCAAACAGCCCCACAATGATGGCCAGAGACTTGGCAGCCTGGACCTCCTTCTGCAGCGTGGAGCGCGACTTCTCCCCATGAACCGCTTTCACCTCGATCAGCTTGAGCTGGTGACGGGCTGCCATGAAGATGCACAGGTAGATGGCCAGCATCAGCAGCAGAGGGATCAGCACACAGGCGAAAAAGTTGAAGTAGACCATGTACTCCATGACCACCACCTCCTCAAACAGGCACTTCATCAGGCCGGGGCTGCAGGTGCTGTTGCTGCTCCCGGGCAGCTTGTGCCAGCCCATCATTGGGGTCAGACCGATGATGATGGATAAAACCCAGCAGATGGCGATGATGCCTCGAGCTCGCTGGCCTGTCACCAGACTGTTGTACCTGGAGACGATATAAACATCGAGCATCAGCTCAAAACCATCTTAGGGTTGCATGTGTTTTCCCCAGAAGCAAACCCCTAATAAAAACTGTACTCTGAATTAATCGTGTTTTGTATATCATGTGAATGAATTTTTCCTGATTTATAATCGGCTCATCTGATTGGATTACTCGGTGGAAGCATTTCTCATCCTGGAACTAAAAGAGAAAAAAGATAAATGAACAAAGTCTTTCAGAACTCCTCAAAGGAAGAGTCTATTTTGAGTGCGCCCGTAACAAAGTGTGGGAGAGCAGCTGAGATATTTGGCTCGTTTCCATCGCATTCTCAAGATGTTAAAGTGCAAAGGGTAATGCTGCAAAAACAACCCCCCATCAGGGATGCAAAAAACAACATAGACGAACCCTCACGTATCTTCAGCAGGAGGAGGAGACTGTGTGAAAAAAAGGAAGGCCGAGCTCGATGCGGGACCGAGGGTGAATGGTTTAGTACGATGAGGTCACAGCCTGAGCTGCAGCATCCCCCTTTTTGGTCGGCATGTCATTAGGTGACAGGTTTAATGGCTGTAGACGTACCATACTTCGCAGATTTGAATGCTAAATCAAAGCTGACGTTCAACATAAACAGTCTGACAAGCGGCATGTTTTAACAGCAAAGTAATAAAGTAAGATTACACAGAGGCTCAGAGGAGGGTTACACAGTCTGTATAAGCAATTAAAGCAATATTCTGCTGATTGCTCTGGGGGGACACGGCCTCGCGGGAGACGCCATTTCTGGACACACTTCCTCAGCCAAGACTTTCTGGTTCAAAAGTCATGTCGTTACTGATAGAAATGAAATATGGAGTTATATTGTGAGACCTTCGCTGCAAGAGAGTAAGAAACAGATTAGAAGAAACAGAGAAAGGAGAAGAAGAAGAAATAAAACAAGTTATGGTACATTTTAAATGCATTCTTTTTGTTTAAAAATTACATTCTTATTTTGTTTCCTAAAACATCTTTTTTCTTTTGATACCATTTTCTGATGAAGAAAACCTTTATAAAGGGTTTAACGAGTCTTCTTAATAGTTAATAAATAATTTACTAATGCTTTATATATCAGTTATTAATTAAACAGTTCAGCAGAACTTTTGTGCTGCCGGGCTGTGACTAATCTCTTTGGTGGTTTTTCTGTGATCATGGGTTTCTCACTTATGAATAATCCCTCTAATGTGCAGCTATCACTGTTAATACATCATTTTTATTCTATCAAGTCTGCATAGTCCATGTTGATAATGAAGATAAGATTATTTTTTTTTAAATTTGTCCCACAGTGGGAGTGGGGAAATTTGCAGATATACATAGATGTTGGTTCAAGTGAGACAACCTGGCAACCCAAAAGTTCTTATTGAGACATTATAACTAATCCGGAAAGTTAAATTAAAGAGTCTTATGAGAATATGGGACCAAACTTCCCACTGTTTCTCTCTGACGGATAACAAAGTGTGCAGACTGGTGTCCTCCGGGTCACTGACCTGAGTGGTATCTTGATTGCGATGTATCGGTCTATAGCGATGGCCAGCAGGCTGAAGATGGAGCTCTGTGTGAGAACCAGGACGAAGCAGGCGATGAACAGGCAGCCATAGAAGTTGGAGCAGAAGCCGGTGCTGATGACGATGGCGAAGGGAATGGCCAGGACGCCCACGGCGATGTCTGCCACCGCCAGCGACACCACGAAGAAGTTGGTGATGCTCTGCAGGTTGCTGTTGAGGCACACGGCCCAGCAGACCAGCACATTGCCCAGCACGGAGAACACAGCAATCAGCAGCTCCAGGATGATGTAGAGGACGGAGGCGGCGGGGTCGTCCGGCATGGTGAGACAAACGGCGAGGTCACTGATGAGGAGGGAGGAAACCTCGCCTCAACGACCATAGCTGCAGCCTGGCAGCCGCTGAGCTCAGCCTCCTCACCTCCACAAACATCCACCAGCGTCTGCAAGCAGCTGCAGCGGCTCCTCCACACCTGCTCCGCTCAAACAGCTGATGAAGAGCTTTATTCAACCGCACAATAATCTGTCATTCCACCGTCGTCCTCACGCAGGGCACAGTCGCCTCCATGCTCTCCTGGTGAAAAGAGATGCTCTGCGGTCCTCTCTGTTTAGGTCCTTCCCCTCACTGTTTTTTTCCCATGAACTTCTCAAGGGGCCGAGATGATGCCAACAACGCAGATCACTGGAACATTATGTGGCTGGAGATGCTGGCTGATGGCTGAAGAGGTGCAGAAATGAAAAAGAGGAAATGCTTTGACAATGAAGGAAGTGAAGCAGACACACAATTGCATCAGATATTTACCATAGTTACTGTTTGCCCAGAGTTAAAGCTCATTTTCATCTGCAGTCCCCAGACAAATTAGACAAGACATGTGATGCAGTCATAGTACACACAAACACTCACCATGTCAACACCATGTACTGTGTGTTACACAACTTAGGTTGTTTTTGGGTTTTTTTTTTAGATATTATCAATGTGTCAATGTGGCTGTAAAGCTCCTGACAGAACTGCAGCTCTTGCTGTATCTCTCAGCTAATTGTTTTGGTTTTGGCCTTTGGCCTCATGTTTTATTACTTTATTGTTGTGGTTCACTCTCACAGATCTCATCAGAAAATGACAATGTGATTTTCCAGCTAAAAAGCCCTAAAAGCCCACATGAATTCCTGAGTGCTTAACGACAAAAAGACTGAAAAGTTTGGTTTGTACACTCAGGACAACACGTCATCAGAGCTACTGGAGTTGTTCCAATACGAAACTAGTATCATAAATGCCTCACATCCAGATAAAACAGCATTTTACCCAGAAATCTATTCTTCTTCTCCGCCCTAAAACAGAAAGGAAGCTTTGCTGTGCAGCTACTGTTTTTAGAGTATTTACAGTAAATAGAGTAACATTAGTTATTAGCAATATGTTAACAATTTGGAAACATGTTACACTGGAAAGTCCCAGCAGTAAAAAGGCAACGTGTACTGAATGCAAGGCTTTCATTTTGATGGGGTGGCACTCATGTGAGGAGAACTACNAGTTATTAGCAATATGTTAACAATTTGGAAACATGTTACAACATGTAGCAAGTGTTATTTATTTCATTTTTTTTTTTTTTTTTAAGATAGGAGGTCAAATTAGAAAATAAAAGAAGGATTAATGTATCTGTTCATGTTTTACAAAGGGTTTAACCTGAGCCGTGCAACAATGACAGCAATCATCCATCATCCATCACGATCAGTAGTTTACAGCTGTGTATTTAAAAAAAAAAAAAAAAAAATGCAATGGTATCAGATTAGAACTCAGTATCAGCCAATACACAAGCTCAGGTATCAGGAAGGAAAAAATGACATGAGAACATCTCTCGAAACACCTGTCAGGACTGCCTGCAGGGCTGCGGAGTCCCGCCTCCTCAGTCCAAACTGCACCTGTACGGGACCAGCTGTACCTCAGTCCTCTAGTCATTTAGCTCTAGTTATTGGAAGTTTAAGAATAAAAGCTAATTGAAGAATTAGATGACTGCCAGTGACAGAGAGGAGCACACACCTTCTGAGGCATGTTTTGGAAGGACTGTATGACGTCATGGATCGTAATGAACAATGTGTCATCCAAGGGAATATGTTTAAATCTTAAATCACTGTACAGTAGTTTTAAGTCACTATTTGCAGCCGGTGCTTGTTGTGGGATCCGTAAATGTGTCTTTTCTTCAGTCACAGTGAAGAACTTTACTCCTGACAATCTTCTAAGTTACATAAAAATGGCTCCTGGTCATTACGTGTAGTTAGATTCCCTGATATCAGCCATAAAAGGCTTAACAAATAGAAATCTGCTGTTTCTGCGGGACTGAATTCCCTCAGAGGGAATGTTTCTTGAGGTTATACAGAGTTTTAGGAGATAACAGCTGTGCTGGAACACAGAGGTCTTTGCTCTCCCAGTCAGGCTGTTCCCTTTGGGTCGGATGAGACCTTTTTATTAATACCAAAGACTTGTTATTTCAAGGATGATAGCTATCAGGACGTTTTTTTTTTGTTCATTCTATTTGACTTACAAATAAAGTTTGTGTTGGTCTCTTTCCTGTGAGCCCCGGGTATTTATTTGTCTTGATGTCAGTGGAGTTTGGGTGTTATATTGCAGCGTGTTATAATGTTTTATGCAGCAGCGGTGAGTCCAAAACAAAAATCCCAGAGGACAGTAGAGGAAATAATGAATCTTTGAAAACTACAGCAGTGATTCTCCCATGCTAGCAATGCATCCTACAATAACAAGCTTTCTTGAGACGGAATTATGAAACACATCAGTGAAGCTCCAGGGATTAATAGTGAAACCAGGGGAAGTGAGGTCTTTCTTAAGGACGAGATCTGGTTCACGTTGGCCACTTAAGGGAAATTTGAAGGTATGGTTGTCTTCAGATACATGATTCAGATGTTTTGTATAATCAGTATGTGAATTAAGAATTAAAGTGCCATCACAAATCTATTCAAGTTTGAGTGAATTTGCCCACAAAAAGAAACCAAGAAAACAAATCACTCAATTGGCCAACTGCTGCCATTTCAGAGGAAACACAGGAAACATCAAACCTGCCGCCCCGTCACTGTGCGGGGATGATGTACGATCAAAGTGACAACATGGCCACTGGCAGCATCTAGCACAGGCAGCTGTGTTGACAAGAATGTGTCCATGAGCACCAGCAGCTCCGGCAGAGCCTCTGAGCGAGAGGCTCCACGCAGAGTCAGAAAGAATAACTCTGCAGATGATACTGAAAGCAGATCTGTGTGACGCAACGCTGTCTTTATTGCTCTACTCAGCCCTGTGGTCAGATTAACACACTATAAGGCCCTGAAAACAAGTAGCTGTAGACCCCCAGTGACTTCCTGTTTGTGTGAATTTAGTTGTGGTAATTGACACTCTGGGCCCTTAATATGGAAAAGAAGAGACTTATAACGATGCATCATTTAACATCATATCATACTGAGGAGATGTAGACACAACTTTTTTCCACTACATAAACCTTTTGTGGTAAAAACCTTGTGACTGAAGAGTTGGCTTTCTTGTCATGTTTCTGCAACTTGTCACTGTTTCTACTGTGCATCTTCAGTGCTTCTGGCACTTTTGGTTTAGTTTTAATAAATGGGACTTTCTGAAAATAATGTTTCAAACCTCTAAGATGTGAGATGGTGTTAGTCGTTGTCCTCTATTGCAGATTAAAACGAGACTCGAGTCTGGATTTGATTTGGATCAACTTTAGTCCTGCTTGATTTAAACCTGCCTAAATAAATATTTAGCTCGAACGTAAAGGTGAAGGTGATGAAACCAATCGGCTCCAGACTCTTGAGTGGCACCAAAATCCCCAGGATTATCATGTGTCAATTGATTTTTCATATTTTTATTAACTGATTTTCTTTATAGAGAAATTGCAGTAATTAAGTACAATATAAACTAATTGATGCATCATTAGTTTTATTATTACTACATCTTGAGTCCCTGGTTTGCAGAGTCACCCTTTGTCTAAGTCTTGTATTCACAGCTTTATTGTTTTCTTTATTAGGAGAGTGTTACAACGGCATTCACAACATTGTGCTCCACCCCTCCTAAAAGCTCGATGAAGGTGATGGACACTGAGACCACATGGTTTATATGATCAAGTGTGTTTTTATCTGAACGAGGAAGAGCTTTAGTAATAATTCTGAAACTCTGGTGAAGGTTCAGGGACTTCACGGACCCACTGTTCTGCAGGAGAGCTGTGTTCACTGCGCTGAACTGTGCAGGTGAGGAAACCGGCAACCGACAACTTTAACCACAGTCACTACACGCTTTCAGCTGTTGTACAACTCACGCACTACTCATGTTAGTCTGCCACATGTGTAAGGTAGTCCTAGTATAAAGACTGAGATCGCATTAACTCTGAACGAATTGATAATACATCTTAACTCCAACATTTAAAATCCAGGTTTTACTAGAACAAAACATTGTGTTGGTTAAAATGACTCACCTTCTTGTTCTTGATGTTCGGACTAAATGCAGATGTGACTGATGAACTTATAATATCCGACAGCGCTTTTAACGATGAGGTGTTGAAAGCGCTAAAATAAACATGCAAATGATCGTTTTCACTTCCCGCTGAGAGACTTGTGAAACTTCATCAGTCAACCCTCCGCTCATTTTAACGCGCTGCTGAAGCTTTAATCGATGCTTCCGGCTCCGTCTGGAAGAAGTGATGCTGCTTCTATAGTGATGGACTTCAGACAGATGAGACCTGCTCTTGCCCTCCCTCCTTCCCTCTATCTATCTCTCTCTCGCTCTCTCACGCACACACACACAAGCACACACACACACACGCACACACACCAGGCTGATAGTGCGTCCGTTTCCTCTCCAGGGGCGGATCTGCTCAAAGCTGCCCTGTGTTCAGATGAGTCTGTCATGACACATTAAACTCGGTGTGTCTGCTCTGACACTTCAGAGCAATGAGTCAAATAGTCCAGTATAATTAGATATTTTGCCAAGTATCCAGTTATTACTCAGTGCCAGAGCCTTGACACAGTCTACATACTGTTCAAACATCTCACACCATTCATCTTTTACTGTAAAAATGAAACGAGGTAAAGTTGAAACCGCTTTCTGAGACAGTGATGAAACAAACATGGCTGCTTCAAATGGTCTTTAATAACTATTGCCAGAAAAAATAAAGCAACATAAAACCAGACAGCAAATTTTTTTTTTTTTACAACTGATTATCATCATTGTGTGCACTTAATACTGTAGCTTAGTCCCTTTACACACACAGACACACACAAACACACACACGCACACACACACACACACAAACGCGTTTATTCATTCAGCTTTAACTTTGACATGGGAACATTTCAGCACTGCATGTAGTGTGATCAGGATTTCCTCTTGAAAAAAAAAATAACTTCACACCAAAAACGAATGTAGCATGGATTGTTAAAAAAAAACAAAAACAAGGCAACATGGAAACAAAAAGACAAATTAAAGCAGGTTCAGTGGAATTCTCAGAGCATCTTCAAGTAAACAAAGAAAAATGAATGTAGCATGATGAAGTGGACCCAATTAAGTCATAATGCACATGTTCACATTTGCCTCGTGGTAAAGCCGTACACTTAAAGGGCATCAACAAACACTGTAACACGTCCCTCGTGGCTGCATTGTGTGGAGGTGGAATGTGCCGTCTGCTCTCTCTCTCTCTCTCAGCAGGCCGGGCTCACTGTTCATCAATCACTCCACGTCGGCACACGGTGGACCTCGTAAAGTCCCGGGATCACTACAGCGTGATCAAAACACATTCCGCTTCCAGGATGGAGAGGCTTCACAATCATTCTGTGGCTCTCACATGTTTCTGTGTAAAACACGTGGGCCAGTGGTGGAATCGAGCAGAACACAATAAACCTGTTGGCTGATGATCCTCAGCGTTATGGCATCACAGGATCCGTCAACGGAGAGCCGATGCTTTCAAACGTCATTAAATAACTCACTCGCACACAAACAGAGGCCGCCACTGCTGCAGGCTCTTGTGCTAACTTTAAATCACTGAGTGTCAGAAGCGGCTGTACAAATTGTGGTTTCTGATGTGTTGCTATGGATACCAGCTTCATCTGATCCAGATCAAAACAGAGTGTAGTCACCTTCACCAGACGCACGAGGGAATTCGACCAACTTCCCCGAAAATAGTCCATGACCACCATTCACTATTAGTGTTCCTGAAGAGGCACAAACAAGAAGCACCTTGTTCCAGAAACCGTTTCCACGGCGACACACGCGCCCGGTGAGGAAAGATGAAGTGTCACAGTTTCACTGGCAGAAGCTTCGGCTGAACTGTTAAGGCAGGAGTTTAGTGTGGAATAAAAAAAAAAGCTTATCTCAGTGCAGCTACTCACTGTCTGTGGAATAAATTCATATACACACAAATAAAGCAAATGACCTCGCTACAATGATTGGATTGGAAACCATGCAAATAAATACAGTGAACTTGGTGTGTTGAGGCACAATTCACTCACAGCCGTCAGCAGCAGCTCTGCAGTGACTGAAATCAGACATTTTAAATGACACTGTGCTATAAAGTTTCTCTATAATGATAGTCATACTAACAATTTCAAAAACTACCTGTCTACCACAGCATCAGCATCAACACAGTGGAGTCAGTGGAAAAATGAATTCTCCAGTCACATGTGCATATTGTGTCATTCATGTGCAAAAAAAAAAAAAGGTTTTGCAATTTTGCATTTGCTGGAAATAGTTTGACATTTTGGGAAATGTGATTATTTGCTTCCTTACCACAAGTTAGATGTGAAGATGGATACCACTCATGTTTGTAAGTCAAATTTGTAATAAATATATCAGCTTAGCATGAGGACTGGAAACAGCTCGTCTGGCTCTGTCAACATCACACCTTCCAGCCAAGAAAAAGTCCAGCACATAACCACCCGTGAAATGACAACTTGTCATTTTTACACTCACGTTTTTGTTATACTGTGGTCATTAGTGAGCTTTAGAGGTGCTGGCAGGCAGATTTTGTTACGTTTGGAAAAAGCCAAACTGGCTGTTTCTCCCTGATTCCTGTCTTTATGCTAAGATAAGCTAAGCAGCTGCAGGCTCTAGCTTCATGTGCACTGTACAGACATGAAAGTTTTATCAATCTTCTCATCTAACTCTGCCAGAAAGTGAAAAACTGTACTTCCCAATAAACTGAATTATTAGCTTTAATGAGATGCTGCATTGCCCTACAAACACAAGTCTTCACCTGTGAATCCGTCTTTGCTTTTTTCCAAAAACTAGAGCACATCTTCCCAACATGAAACTCCTGGGTGAGAGTCTATTTTTCTTAATTAAAGCCTGAGGCTGATGAAGTTTTAGGCTCTCTGATCTAAACAGAACTTGTCTTGTCAAACAAAACACACGCTATGAGAAAAAAACTATATTCTACTCACTCATTCTGGTTTTGATGAACTGATGCTGTGTGCTGTATGTGCCTAATGAAGTCTAAGTGCAGGCCTACAAAATGCAAACACTCATATTATACAGTTGTAAGATTAGTGTTAAGAACTCCATACACACCAAATGACTATTAGTCCACCTTCATGAATCTAGTAGTGAAAAACCACTAGAGTGTGTTTGTGTTGTAGCATGTAGCATATTTCTGTGCTTGAAAATCAGTCACTCGTGATCAGATGCTGATGTAGTATCTGTCTGCAGCATCAGTCTGTTCCAATGACCCAAAAAAAAAAAAAGAAAAAAAAAAAGCAATCGAAAGGCTCTGAAACATATTTGGCAACAACTCATTGATTCTTCAGCTTCACAGACTGTAGTGAGAAGACACTTCCATGCTGCCTCTGCAGAGGTTTGGCCCACAGAAGAACTCATCTCCTGCTCCCCCGCATCAAAACTCACACAGGCACTTTATCCATTGAAAGAGAGGCATCAGTATCGTACTGTAACGTGTGGAAGACTTGGTGCAAAAAAGGCTGCGTCTGTCTGAATTACTATCAAAGGTTTTCATGGTTGTGGGGGAAATTCCAACATTTCTAAATTTTGGTTTGTTGTTCTGCAGGAGCCCACGTTTCTACAAAATATTCAAAATCAACAAAAAAAAAAAAAAAAAAAAAAAAAAAAGGAAAAACACTGATTATTTCTCAAAACTTCTCCTGTTGTAAAGTAGCAAAGATTTGCCAGAATTCCCCTTTAACAGACTGGAAACTGGGTGAAGTGTGGAAGAATATTTGTGAGGAAGAGCCGGGCAGAAGGCACTCAGACTTGGTTTCTTCTCCATGCTGCTCCTTCAGATGTGAACTGAAGGCAAAGATGATGTAGAGGATTTCATTGCTGGTCAGTTCACCATTTTTCGTCACTAGCGGTCTAATGACTTCCTAGTGTAACAGCAGACATACAGGCAAGCCCTTACTCTACAAAAAGCCTCTCCTGTGCTGTACTGGGAGGAGGGTGTAGCTGTTGTGTCCAGTCAGGTTGTGGCCTGCCTTTAGTGTTGCTAAATACTGATGACCGGCATGCAGCTGTGACTGGGTGTAGCTGTGGAGTGAGGGCGGGGTCAGTGAGGTATAACAGTTGACTGTGGTGTTGAAGGTTGCGGAGAGCTCAGGAGGGCTGGCGTGGCACTGACTGTGCTGCAGGAGCAGGAAGGGTGAGGCGGCAAAGTCAGGTCTCAAAGTACTTGTAGATGGCTGTGACGTACGTCATGACACTCTGCCAGTCCGGCCTCTCTGTGTGCACCATCTCATTTATGTCCTGGAACAGAGACAGGGACAGTTCAGGAAGAGAAACAAACTGCTAAACGAAACAATATCATTTTAGCATTTGTTTTACATTAAAACATCATTTGCAATTCATTTGATGAGTGTATGTGGAACCATCTACATCAGGGCTTTCAAAACTTTTGAGGTGAGGTGAACGGGGAAACCTTAAGTGAACTCACTCTATTAACCAATACTGTGTGGCAGGCCACCTAAAGTATATTTTGAGAGACAAGTCATGGGCCGACATGCCTGATCTACATGATAAACACACAAGTTGTGGCTAAAAGCTCCAAAAGAAATCTAGTAAGTGAACCTTGAGTGAAGAATTTGACTTCCAGGGTCAATAAAGAACCTTCAGAATCAGAAAAACCTTCCTGTCCAATACAAGGCAGTGGAAATATGTCTTAAACAAGGCTCACACATAAAATGAAAACATACACCAGACATGATAACAATGGAGGCTATCCTGTATAATGTTTATGTATTCAACCTCTCGATACTTATTTCCCCTTAAAGGAGTAGATCAACATTTGGTAAATACACTTGTTCACTGTCTTTCTGAGAAGAAAATTAGTAGATTTAGATCACTCAGCTACAGCAGGCAGCAGTTAGCTTAGCTTAGCATAAGGACAGGAAACAGGGGAGCTAGGTGGCCTCTGTCCAAAGTGAACCAAAGCAACATACCGGGAAAAGTAACACTCAGTAATTAACATTTTATTTTATTTATTTTATCAGTCAGGAGAACCTATCAGTAAACACTGGAAAAAATAACTCTACAATCAATAAGAAAACACATGGGACAAACGTGAGTCAGTGTCACATTGTCTTAAATGTTTATGTGTCACATAATGTCCAAATTAGGGCAAACACAGGGCATTTCAAATCTGCATCTTTCTTTAACACTAGGAGCTTAGTTAATACATGATTTTGTTTTTATGCTCATTTATATTAATCAAAATAATGATGATATGAAACTTACCAAAGTGCATTTGATGCCCACACTCTCTGCGGCCTGGAAAGCTAACGTAAAATTTCTCCTCTGAGGAAAATAAGAGAGTCACACAATGAAGTTTACTGACAAACAGTAAGGATAAAAGTTTGTGGTTTTCCTCTGATTTCCACTTGCCTTCTCTTGGCTGGTGAGCTCCTGGTAGGGGATGTGTGCAGGCAGGTAGGTGTGGAGCACGGCGCAGAAGGCCAGGCCATCGTTCCAGCTGCTGCTGAAGTTTGTGATGTCAATGTTCTGAAAAACACAACGTCGATCCAGTTTCACTTTGATTTAATCTGACAGAACATTTACAATCTGGGACAAAAATCAATAAAAAATCAGTTTCTGGTCCTTATCTGATCACAGAGGGAACAACATTTTGACACAGGTCATGAATGTCACTACTAGCCACTGTGCATCACAGGCTTTCAACATCACCTCCAACAATATTACGGTCACAATAAATTCAGTTGTCATGGAACTATTTAAAATGATTTAACAGCGGTATCAACATTCACCTGGCCTTTAAAATCAAAGATTTACAGCCACTGCAAACAACCAGAGGTTATATGTCACTAGATGTTCACGTCTCCTCAGTGTCACAACTATAATCTAGATCACACCCAATGATTCAGAGAAGACCTTGTGTTTTTCTCAGGCAGGTAACTCACAGGATGTGTTAAATGTACCACACTTCCTGGAGAGGACCTTAGCTGCCACGGCAACCACATCCTACATCAGTTAAAAGGGGTAAACATCACACACGGCAAGTGACTCTTGACAAACTTGCTCATTGTCATATTAGTAATTTCTAGGTCAATACTTAGACGTTAATCGTCTCTGCACATGTTTAGACGGATGTTCTTCAATCTGAGTGAGACTGTCGCTGCAGTCGTCAAGTAAGACCTGCAGAAAGAGACGCTATGTATGTGTAACAACACCACCATCTCTTCACTAAACTGAAACAGAAAGCAGAAGACGAGGACAGAGACACACCTTGACTACAGAGAGTGAAATCCTTTTTCATGATTTTCATGAAATCAAACCGCATTTCTGAAACAACTTGTGCTTGTTTTTCTTTATTGATGAAGCATGTGATCCAGCTTTACTGTTTTTAATTTGAGTTTAGTGATGTCAGCCTCACTGTTAATGCAAGCTCAACATTTCCTACTGTTTCCACTTCAAATTAAAAGCATTCAACTGGCATCTAAACAAAAGACTACCATCTACAAAACAATTGTTTTGACAGTGGATCAGTTTTACATATTGCAGGGCAGTAACCAAAGAAGAAGGAGCAGCCAGTGAGCAGTTGGATGAAGAGCTGGAGACAACAGGCTGAAACACCTCCAGCTACTCAGCAAAGCTAACTCCTCTTTCTGTGGAAAACTATTTATTCCGTGTGTATTATAAAATCAGGTCACAGTTGCTCGTGACATGATGAAGAAAGGATGATTACTGACTGACATCTTTATTAACACAACATAAGTTTGTTTAGGCTGCACTGTAAACAAATACATCAGATGCTCTTCTGTTGTATTTCTGATCATTGAGAGTCAGCTGCTTCCACATTCCTGGAACTTCACTTGCTGTTACCGCCGGCAACCAGGGTTGTTGCCGCATCAACCAGGTCAGTAATCTTAGGGATTACTAACTAACTCAGAAAGCTGCTTCAGATTCAGTGCTTGCTCAAAATGAATATTTTCACTATTTAAAGTGAGTTTTACAATTCTATCATGAAACTAATAAACCAGTGGAACGGTGCTGTCTGTCTGTACCCACTGTTTTTCTAGCTCTGTAGACACTGTTTTCTTTAGTTATCTTTGCCTTCACAAAACATTGAGTCATCTTGTTGCTTTTGACTGGAACTGGCAATGAGCCACAAAATACACATTTGAATTTTCACATGAAGTAATGAATGACCTTTTCTTTATTTATCACAGCCTTCTACTGAAGTTACTGCCACCATCTTTAATTAGACTGAATCCCGTTTCAAGACCTTTCACTAACAACAAGACACAGGATCCTCCCATATCAACTCACCTAAGTCCAGACAGGGAACTCCTGAAGAACTCATGAAGATTAATATTTTGTCCTGATACACAGAACAAGAGGACATCATCTAGTCTAGTGCAACAAACCAAGTCATTATTATCATTAAGCTGTAACTTGAAAAAACAGGCTCAATAGGGTTCACACAAAGATAGAAAATAGTAGAAATATCTACCTATGAATTAAAACCACTGAATGTGAAATTACAGTCTGTGAAATGTTTAAAAAATGTGTTATTTTTAAAAAATGATTAAATGATGAAGGACTAAAATAACATTTACATTTTTTATATCAAAGTCTTCCAGGAAATTAAAACAATCCTTCATAATTGTCAAAATATGCAGGACCAAATAACTTCTAGATGTGAAAGAAGTTTATTAATACTACACAGAATCAAAATTTGGTTTCAAGAAACTGAAATTAAGTGGAGATACTAATTTTTGAAAATGAAAGATTCTATGTTTGGGTAAAAATGATTAATAATTTGATTACTGTAAAACATTCAGCAACAACTATTTTGCAAAAATTATGAAATTTAGGCCAAAATTCTAAAATTCATAACTAAAATAGTGTTTGGAGTAGAGATATAGGATGGAGGAAGGTCTACTGAATTTAATAGAAGTTTTTACATGAAATTTTCAGATAAAATCTATGACATGATCTGAGAAAATTTCTGGGTGAATTGACCTGGAATGACCCCATAGACAGATACAGTATGATTGGCGGTGTGCAAACCAGTGACAGGACGTTGACCTACCTGGTAACCCTCAGTCTTCTTCTGGCACCACTTCAGCAAAGCATTTCTCTTGGACCCTCCATATTCTCTGGCCAGTGCCGACAACGGGTCCTTCCTCTCCTCTCTAACAGAAGCACAGAAGAGACATGTAAGTGAACCCCATAGTTTTGAAAGATTTACCATGTTAATGAGGCACACTCAGTACATGGTAGGCATGTGTGCTTAGTGAGAGGGAAAGCTGACATCACTGAAGCTGTATGTTTCGTCAGCAGACCAATCAAAACTACAGTAAAATGTGCTGACGTCACACAAGCAAGTGACAGAAAATAATGGATAGAATCAGTTCTTCCTCTATTTGTCTTAAACATGTAGTAGTTCAATTTAAAATTGTACATCGTCTGCAATGAACTAAAGCAAGACTGTGCGAGATTAAAGAAGATCTTGACCCCACATGTGACCGATGTTGGCAAGAACCTCCCAGCCTGATACACATGTCTTGGAACTGTCCAAAATTGAGCAACTTTTGGGAATGTTGGGGGGATTATATGTATATATGTATATATATTCTTTTTTTCCAACACATTAATAAAAACACCTTTATCAAAAAAAGAAAAGAAAATGGAAACAGACACTGACTTTAAAATAGCACCACATACAGGTGAGGCAGCACTCTAAGAGGAAGTACCTTAGACGGCTGCGCGCTGTGGGGGTGATGGAGGCGGTGGGAGAGGAGGAGGACAGGGAGAGAGGAGAAGACGCTGCACTCATAGCCATCAGGGAGGATGAGGAGGCACCGTCTGGGGCCGACATGTCCCTCTTTATCTCCTCACTGCTCCTGCGGGACACTGCTCAGGACAGGGCAGATGATTATAGACTTATATGTTTAACTAAAAGGAGACTGAGTCATTGTTTATAACTTAATTCGCATCTCTTACCTGAGATTGCCTTGGTGGAGTCCATGTTGGAGACCCTCTGGAGGACAGACGGAGGTCGGCTAGCCGAGGTTCCCCTGAGAAGGTGCTCAGCTGTGGACACATCACAGTGTTTACATCACATACTGTTTCTATAAGGTCCTCCTCTGACATTAGATGTAACAGGGTCAGTGAAGAGCCACATTCCAGCCCCTCTGAGCTCAGGGAATACCAACACACGAGGCCGACTCACTCAGCAAGAAAACTATAAATCAGAGAAAAATAAACTGAACTTTGGAGTCTCCAGCCAAGTCTGCATGTTCACACGAAATACTTGAACTCATTACTGGTGGCATTTAACTGAGGGAAACTCTACAGTACATGGTGGCTCATTATTTCCCTCTTATCATCCACTCTACTGTTTTGATGAACTAAAAAAATCTGCGCAGAGTAAACCTGGTAACTCTCAACTCCAGGCCTCTGGGGAAACACTGTCCCTTTATTTCTCATGAGAGAGAGGAGAGTCCATCATTAATCATCATGATAGTTTACTGTGATAGAAGTGTAGCAGAGGAATCTGCCTTATCCTGAATGTTACAAATAATTAATAGTACAGTATTCTGCCCCTTTATAGAGAGCTACAGGTCTGAAAATAAAGCCTCATTATTATTTCAATATATGGAGAGTATTTAAATGACAGCCGCCTCACCTGGCATGGTGATGTCTGTGTAGCTGGGCCTCTTGTCACTCAGTGAGGAGAGCGGCTTAGGTGCTGACATAGACCCAGTGATCGAGTGTCTCTGAAAGAGCGATAAAAACAGTTTCCTGTTAAGTTCCATGAATAATATTGGTTAAGAGAAACACAATATAAAATGTTGTATATGCTGTTTTTTAATTTTTTTTTTTTTTTTTGAACAGATGACTTTGTAAGTCCAAATTTGGTGATTTTAAAGCATTAAATGTTCTTTATCAGTGAGAAAACCAAACATTATTATCTGAAGAGAACATGCCTGACTGAAAACTGACAGAAAATTAATCAGCAACTATTTTTACAACTCATGAATGATTTTACTTTTTTCTTCAAAGTGAAATGAGAAATTGCTTGTTCCAGTTTATCTAATGTGAGAATTTGATGCTTTTGTTTGTCATATGATAGTAAACTAAATATCTATGTGTTGTGGCCTGTTAATAAAACAAGGAATCTGGTACGTCCCCTGGGCCTGTGGGAAATTATAATGTGCATTTCCTACTCTGTTTTGACATTTTATAGATAAAACGACTTAAGGAGAAAGACATCCTCAGATTGACCAAATGCACAGCCTGTATCTTTCACAAACTCTTGTCTGTAAACAGAACAAAAAACACACACACTATTGGTCACTTTTACCCACTCTATTTCTGTACTAAATACATTAAAAATCATTTTGGTTCTCAGTCCAAAATGTTTTTCACAGTCACAGTAAACCTTGCATCTATTATTTTTATTTCTGTCTGTCTATTTTTGTCCTTTAAAATCATGTTGTTTGTTTGTTCTTGATGTTCTCATCATTTGTCTTCTGTTGTTTTAAATGCTGTGTAGAGAAGCCAAACACAACTTTCCACATTATGGACAATAAGGTTCAGAACTAACGAACCACTAAAACACAGGGAAAAGGAGCAACATATTCAGACCGAGCTTTCTCTCCTCTACCTGTATGGGTGAAACAGCAGCTGCAGGAGGCGTCTTCATGGGACTGGGACTGAGGGGGGTGCGCGGCAGCGGGGTAGCCGGGGCTGTTGGAGTCACAGAGGCACCATTGGAAGCTGGACCTAAGTTACCACGGAGAGGGGACAGTTAGTGACATGTGGCTCAGTTCAGACCTGCTCCACACAAGCAGCTACATAAACTCCTGATGTAATGAACTGCATCAGGAGCCTCGTCTGTAAAACATTTCTGTGAACAAATCCTGAGCTAAGAACCAAAGCTCAACTAGTTTGTAATTTCTAACTAAAATACTAAAGAATAAATACTAAAACACTAAAATGGAGATGAGCCTATGATTGTCATGTAGTTTTTCCACCCTCTGACACAGTAACACACTCCAGCCTTAAACCAAAGAGCATTAGGAGAAATGGATGGAAAAGGATTCACTCCATGTAAATGACTAGAAAACATTAGTGAGACTCAACGTGAGAAATCAGTCATCTGCAGGAGTACACAGATTTGTAACTGATAATAGAACAAATAGTGAGGAAGGCAGGATATCTTCAACATTGTGTGGTACCTTGTGAGGCACTGTCGAAGCTCTTGATGAGTGTCTTGACAGTGGGCGAGGGCTCTGAGGAGGTGGAGGAACGCCGGCTGAGACCCATCCCCTGTCTGAGAGCAGCCAGGTCTCTCTCCACTGCGTTCATGTAGTTATACACTCGGCCTCTCTCCTCCTCCTGCCTGGGAAACACACAGGATCCTACTCAGTATGTCGACACTATGGTTTGAAAATGGCCATTATTCAGGAACTTACATCATATTATAGGGACAAATATGCAATTATTTCAATAGCAATTAAAGATGTATCATTTATAGTTTGCTATTTTGGTCTATAATGGCAATTTTTATCCTGTGAGATTCAAAGATTAATGAGCATAAACCCCCTAATGACCATCCCGCTTCATAATCAAATAAGCAGTTACATCTCCCCTTGTTTTCTTTAGAAACATGAGACAGATGATGTCAGTGTGACCGCTGCGGCTCTTACTTGCGGCTCTTGACCTCATCCAGCTCTTTGCTCAGCTTCTCATTCTTCTCCTGCGCTTCCTGCAGCCGGCGCCGCAAGTCCCCGATCTCTTCCTGAGCTTCCGACTTGATGTCATTAGCAATGACAACAGCTGTCTGCAGATCAGCCTGGAACTGACGCCACTCCATTGACTCCTCCTGTAAACACACACACACACACACACACACACACGGGACAACATTGTTCAGGCTAAATGATACATTAGATCATTGAAGCAGTATTGATGGATCGTTTCGGTCACTCTGGGGCCTGAGACTGAGCTGACGGGAGCAGTGACAGAGAATTAAAACAGTTGTCGGATGTAAAACTGTAACAATGAGCTGAACGATGCTAAAAAGCTCTGTGGAGGGGAACTGCAAGTCTGGGTGATAATTCTCTGCGGGTCTCTGTAGCAGCTTTAACATTGCTTAGGATAAATGACATATCAGACCATTAAGATATAAACTGTGAATCCATTAGAGTCTTTGCAAATACTTCCTATTTTACCAGTGTCCAAATAAATGTATCATTTACTGAGAATGATTTTTGCTGCAGTTCACTTCAGTGTCTGTTTTTTTTTCTAGTGTACCAGAAGCAAACTAATTTTATGCAATAATATCTAACCCAAATCTTCCTCATTGAACAACGTGGCCCCCTGGTGCAACACCTTACCCTTAGTCTGCGATGAAGAATCTTAATCTCTCGCTCCATGTCGTGCTTCTGGTCCTGCAGCTTCTTCACAGAGTCTGAGATAGGAAGAAGATACATGTGGGTGGTGTTAATGCCACCTGGCCACAGAGAGCACTGACTCAACACTCAACACCACAGACGTCTGTGTAGAGGAAGTCTGGCGGACGTTTGATGGCAGGAGATTAAAGCTCTTGAGAAACAGACCACAAGATGTTATCACTCACACCACGTGTGAAAAGATGTTGAATTTCACACTAAAGGACCTCTTAATCAGTGGCTCTCAAACTTTTTCACATCAAGGACCCTAAACTGACTCAAATTAAACCACCTCAAATGAGATGTTTTATTACAGAAAGTGTTTGAAACCCATGACCAGAATAGCCAAACATTCTGTTATTCTGTTACTTATGGATGGAATTATAGTGAAAACAAATGATTCCCCTTTTTTCTGGGAACAGTCAGGAACCCCCTGAAGGACCCCTGGGGGTCCCCGAACCCCACTTTGAGAACAACTCCTCTAAATGATGCCTGTCCCTTGAGTAAATACGAGATGCATAAACCTCAAAACAAGTAGAGGTTTGGCCATTAGAACAAGTCTGCACTCAGGTTAGTTGCATTTCCAACCCACTTACTCTCGAGGTCTGTGATGATGAGGTTGTCGTGGAGTTTCAGAGCTCGGTGCTGCTCCACCTCATCCTCCAGCTCAAAGATGGTCTCCTTCATGTCGGCGATCTCCGTCTCCTTCTCCTGAAGCTCCACACGCTGCTTCTCCAGCATGCGCTCCTGCTCGGCCATCTGCTGCTGCACCTGCTCCTGGAAGTCTCTGTACTCCCTGTCCAGCTGCACACACAGGATGAAGAGCATCCTTCATTTAATTATTAACAAGCAGTGAGGTAATTAGCTGACTAATGTGCAACAAAGCTTCAGCAGTGTCACATTGTGATATAAAGAGATGTATTGTGTGCAGTGTGCGTCTTAATTATACGTCTGCCTAATTATCCTCTGTGTAGTGTTAAAACAAGGAATATGGATCACTCCGTGCTAAAGGTCGACTCTGAATAACCTGGCACTGATCCATTGATAATAAAAGAAACACTCATTTTTGTGACCCAAAAACTCTGCATCCTAAATTAAAATTCCATTTAGGTCAAACATCTATTTAGCATCTTTAACCTGCACACTATCTGTGCCTCTAATTTTACATCTCAACTTCTCCTTCAGGCCTCAAGTTTGAACTAACCTTAGTGAAAGTCTCCTGCATCCTGTTGAGTTCACTGTGAGCTTGTTCCACCTCCTCCTGCATCTTAGCAGCCTTGGCCTCAGCCTCCTCCTTCCCCAGCCGAACTCCTTCCAGCAGCTGGCAGATGTCATTTTTGTCCCCCGCCGTGTGAAGGGAGTACAGCTCGGCCACCCTCTGCCTCTCCTGGTCCAGCTGGGCTCTGCAGCGGCTCAGCTCCGCCTGGTCGCTGCTCACTGCCGCCTTGTACTCCTCGAGTGCGGCCGCCATGGCGGTCCGATCCTGTCTCTCCGATTCCATGATGCGCTCCATCTGGTGGTTCCTCTCCTTCAGCGCTCCGATCATCTCCTGGGCCTCGGCGTTGTCCTGTTCAGCCATCTTTAACGTGTTGGACAGGTGTTGCTGCACGCCCAGCAGCTGCTCTCTCTCGAAGCGGGCATTATCTGCCAGGTCTCCATAGCGCTGCTCCAGCTCCATGTAGCGGCCACTCTTGATATCTTCCTCCAGCACGTAAGATATATGATGCTCATCCAGAAGAGAGCGCAGGTACTCGATTTGGCGACCGTAGAGCTCCAGCTTGTCGCTTTGCTGGCACAAGGAGTCCATGAGGATCACCTTCTCCTCGCCGAGCCGCTCGTTCTCCCCGTTCAGCTCCTGGGTGATTTGCTGCAGGTCGGCCAGCTCCTGCAGAGTGGCCTGGAGCTCCTCAGCGGTGCTGTGCTGGTTCTCTTCCATCTGGTGGATGCGCTCCGTCAGACAGGCCACCGACACCTCACTGGCATTGCCGCTGCTGCCCCTCCGCGAGCGCTCTCTGCTGGGTGCGCACTCCGACTCAGATGATGAGGAGGCTCCAGAGGGGGCATCCAGGGCATCATCGCTGGAGGTGACGGCCTGGTAAACCTCGCTGGATTCACTGTCGAGGTTGTCCGCCGAGCCTCCATGTTGGTGTCCTGTGAGCAGATCCTCCAAAGAGCCCGGGGCAGAGCCTTCTACTGAGGAGGTCAGTGTGCCCGTGCCCCCACCATCGCTCTGCACACTGCCGGCTGCCAGGTGGTCTGGGCTCAGGGAGGCGTAGTTGAACAGCTTGTCAGAGCCGTCCAGCCTCTGCTCCAGAGAGAAGCCCAGTGCGTTCAGCCGGTCTTTCAGCATGCGGTTCTCACTCTTCAGCAGGTTGAGCTCCTCTCTGATGGCCTGGTTCTGCTCTTGTAAGAGAATCAGAGTGGACTCCACATCAGCGGCTGTGATGGCTGAAACCTGGGGCTTCTCTTCCTCCCCAGCTTCTTCCTCAGGCGGCACTTCTTTCCCTCCCAGACCAAGCTGGGCCCTCATGTCCCTTAGCTCACTGCGCAGGTGTAGGATCTCCACATCTTTGCTTTTAGCCAACCCCAACAAATCTTTTACTTTAGCCTCCAAAGCCACTTTATCACTGATCTGGCCGTCTGATTTGGACTTGCTCATACGGCCCTCAGACTCTGTGAGGATCTGGCTGCGAGAGCGCTTCCCTGAGGCCACATCCCCCGTTACAGTCCCTGATACCAACTGCTTCTTAGCAGCTGATGTCCTGGATGTCCGAAGACGGTCTCGTGATGAATTTGGCTCCCTTGAAGTCGAGGATGTCGTACGCTTGGACGAAGTACCTGGTAAGAGAGGAAAAGGTAACTGTTGTAAATCAATGACAAAATATGAAATTAATATATAGGAATTGAATTTCAGATATACCTGATGTTGTCTTTGGCTTGTTGTCGAGGTTGTTAGCACTAGTCCCAATGGAGGCGGTCCTCTTGGTCTTGGCGACAGCACTACTTGATGCAGGGTTCCCTCCGGCCATTGCTGCTAAAAGATCATCATTGCTTTTCACCTGAAAGCACAAACATTCAACACATTCACTTACAAACAAGAAAATATAGCAACTGCAAGCATGACAAAACAGCAGCATGTATCGGCTGCTGACTGGTCCATCATGTGACGAGTCTTACCTTCGAAAGAGGCGCCGTGGTGCCGGTCTTGGCTGCGGGCTTTCCGGTGCCAGCGCCGGCCGCGGCCTCAGCCTTCCCTCGATCTCCGCTCACCTTACTCACCGCTGGCCGCACCGACTTCTTCATACTGAGCTCTCTGACGCCGATGCATTTACAGCTCAATCTGTGCACAAAGGAGGGAGGAGAAAGGTAACGTATGTCAGCGTGCAGAGTGATAGCTCCAGTTTTCCATGGAAGAGGAATTCTTTCCACAGACGCTGCTCCCCGAACAGTAGAAAACACAGACCACACTGAATAACTGAGCACTTCTAGAAAAACCTCCGTCTGTCTCTGTGATCTCAAATTTACTCCAGATAGTTGGTCTCTGGACAGTAGTGGATAATTCTGGTTTGCTCCTGATCTCCAGTATGATTTATTTATGTGGATTTTGTAGTTTAAACTGTTGTTTATTCATATTACAACATGATACTTTGACACTTGTCTGATACTAGCAATTTAAATCATTTTGTCTGCACTGATGTTACATTTGGTAGCTGTTAAGGCAGCGGCAGGACCACCCCAGATACAGGAATGTAAGATAAACAGTGAACTAGAGGCTTAAACAAGCCTCCACTAGATGGCTCTCATGTGTTTGTGATAGTCCTCACAGCTCTGGAGCCACAATAATGATGACACTGATAAAGACTTCAGTTTAATCTATGTGGGTGGCTGCTGCAATCTGTATATATTTATTTGTGGAAGGAATGCGGTCTGACAGTTTGCACCTCAGCACAGACACAGATGGGCAACAAAGGGTTTTGTTTTTCTAGGATTGTGCAGGATGAACAGCAGAGCCAAAAAAGGAAAAGTAGATTCCTTCACAGATCAAAGGGAGAGCTCAAACCATCATATTTTGCGAGGCAAAAATCTGAGTCCGTTAGTCTGTTACCAGCCAACCGCTCTGATGCACTGCATTTCATCCTGCACTGCCAAGGAATCATTTAATGCCATGTTTGTTCAAGATGTATTAATACTACTTCACAATCAGTTACTGTTTAAATAACCTGAAATGATTCCTAATAACAATTTAATGAGGGCAGATTCTTGATTTCATCGGCGGGATATGATTCAAAGTGTTTACTGAATTAGTGACACATGATACAAAAATATGCTACAACTACGTTGGCGTTATCCGTGGCAATTATGCCAATAAACCATGTTCATTTGGCAGCGAACAAGGTGTTGAAACTGGCTGTAACCAAATGACAAAACCTTGTATAAAACACAGGAGGCATTATTCAGTATTGTTCAGGTCTCAACACATGACTTGATGCCACGATAGCAAGAAAAGTGATTTGGGACACAGCTGGAGACAAAGAGTAAGTACTTTAGCATAGACTTGGATGTCTTGGAGTCCTCCTAAGAGGAAAATGTGAGCTGAAGTGATTTATTAAACACAGGAAACTCAGCTACAATCTGTCTCTGAGTCTGTGCTCTGTTGTTTTCCTGAGCAGAAGTTTGTTGTTTGGAAATGAGAAATAAATATAATCAGATATCAGCAGTAAATCAGACGTTAAATAGAGCACTGTGAGAAGCTGAAAGATCTTCGATAGATAAATAAATACACACAAAATGAATCAACAATTAAAATCTGATATAGCCAGAGCCTGGGGTGTGGGGGTGTGTGTGTGTATATGTGTATGTGTGTGTGTGTGTGTGTGTGTGTGTGTGTGTGTGTGTGTGTGTGGTGTGTGGGGGGGGGGGGGGTCTGCACACAATAGTGAACATCTGAGTCACATACTTTCTCTCTGCGGATACGTCCAGAGAATCCAAAATAACCTGCTGCTAAACCACAACTGCTCTTCATTAAAAAACAAATACTTTACTGATTTCAGCTGTGTTTCCTCGGCACAGGTGTTACTTTAAATCTGTCATCCTGCACCAAATCCTCTCCTTCCAGCGCACAAGACTCCTCACAGTGATTCATTTTTCTCTGTCAAGACTACATTTATTTGGCTTGTTATTTCTGTCAGGTTAACCTTTGCCTCCACTGACGTAGATGCTAGGAGTTTAGCTACGCCTATTTCATATAACCAAACCACAAAAAACACACACAGCTCTAACCTTTAGGAAGAGTTATGAAGAGTCTGATTACACTTACAGATAGAAATGTGGGGTGTACAGATAAAAATGTGCCCACCCCCCCCCCCCAAAAAAAAAAAAAAAAAAACAAACTTGCGGGTCTTGAAGGACTTACAAAAACTTTTTTTTTTTTTTTCTTTTTAACTACAACATACACATCACATACCATCATAGACCATAGACTATGGTCTGCACACAAACAAAAGAAACAATCCTCCTGCCTCATATGGAGGAAATGGCAAATAATGTGTCTCAGCTGTTTAGACTGTGCAGCTCTGAGGCTCCTGTGGTGCAGAGGTATATTATATTTACTGAAACAGACCTGTGCTGCAGGACAAACTCCATGTTCTCATAATACTCAGAAGTATACTGTATTTGTGCATCTTTTCTCCATAAGTGTGCTTTGATAGTTGAAGGTTTTATCGATATATTGTGAGAACTTGTGGGAAATCAAACTGTCGGGTTCCTCTCTATAATATTGTAAGGTCTTGACTTTATCCTGTAAAATGCCTTGAGATTATGTATGTTGTAATCTGGCGCTACACAAATAAAATGAAATTGCCATGAATAGATTACTTTATATATGCATCTTCATCCCAACTGGCCTAACCTCATTTGGAGTCATGGCCATGCGTTTTCATATGTCTGTTCAGTTATCACTACATCTTGGCCGGACCAAGACATTACATGTTGACAGGTTGTCTTAGGTTGTTTATGCACTGAAGATTTAAATAACTGTCTGGAAAACTTCTGTTGTGTTTCAGTCTGCCATGTCAGCACAAACTGAAGCTGAAACCAAGCTGAAGTCAATAAATCAATTAGTTGACAGTCAGTGAGTTAATCATCAACTAGTTTGATAATAATTAATTATTTACTTGAGTCATTCTTTCTGAGTAAATGTTGCCCACGTTGAGCTTCTCAATCATGAGGATTTGCTGTTTTCTTTCTGTCCTATGTGACATTAATGGAATATCTTTAGGTTTGGTGGCATCGGCTTTGGCTTTGGGAAATTATGATGAGCATTTTCTACTATTTTCTGATAGTTAGCAGAATAATTACTAATGACAATCTCTTGTATATTGTTCTAGAAATGAAATATTACATTAATGCTTTAATGGGCGTCTTCTTAATACCCCATGCTTTTGATTTCATGGTTTCAAATGTAACTCATCAGGACTCATCTCTATCTCATCTGTCTTTACACAACTAACTATGTGCTGCTTGTTTGTATTTCTATCTCAATATGCATCCGTTTATCCATAACACATATGTGTTTCAACTGTTCAGGGCGTTTTCCCTCAGTACTGACATGTGCTCTCAACAACTAGCCAGTTTTCTGAATAGCTGAACGTGTGTCAAAGCAGATGTCTGACACAGAGAGTTGCTAGCTAGAGCGCAACCCTTTTCACTGGATCTGAATAAACATGGGAGCGCAGGCTGGGGACCAGCAGAGCAGCTAAATGGGGCAGAGTCAGCTGCCTTTTCTTTCACTCTCCCACTCTGCAGAACAGCATGTGCTTCACCATGAAGGTCTACACGACCTACGACAAAAAGCTTTGTGTGTGGACGATTTTAGAGCCCCTTAATCTATACACACTGGCCTATCACTCTCAGTTGGTTCAGTTTGAAAAATGTCATCTAAACGACACGTTCCTCTTACAGCACTGTAGTTTACCCCGACATCTGTGATGAATCACACTGCATCAAAATGAGCTGTTTGTGTGATACAGAAAAACTTTCCCGGTGACTCCATGTCACTGGGCTGACTGTTCATGACATCTATAAATATAGCCAAAATCCTTGATAAACAGCATAGGGATGGAACGGCCATAGTCCATCAGGTTTGTCTGACAGTGGCAGACATTTTCTTACATATTAGCCAAGGTGATTCGTTGCCAACTGCATAAATCTGCTAAGGAGGAACGATGATTGTTGAACTTCATATTCAGAATTTACAACATAACTGACTGCAAGGATACAATTATTTAAAATGAAGTCATTTTGCGCAAGTCCATCACCTACCTATCAGTAAAACGATGCAATGATGTGCAAAATATGACAACATCAACTGTAACGTCAACTTAGAAGTAAAATCATTCTGTGCTGCAGAATATTTGCCCCTCTACACCAGGCTTGAAGCCAATAACACTTGTCCTGATTCAAATTAAATGGAGCTACAGTATTTGATTTCAGTGTTAATGAATGCAATGGATCTGATCCAAGGCTGACCAAGGGAACAAGTGTGTGTAGTGTTCCTTTAGAGACAGCTGAACAAAAGCATGCCACCGAGACAGAGGACGAAGAAGAAACAGTCTGGGAAGAGAAGGAGGTGGGGGTGGTAGTGGTCTAGTAACTCATAAATACCCCTTCCCTGCTCTCCTTCCTTATTCATGCTTTAACTGTGGGGAGGCACTTCCTTGCCATAACATCAGCTTCCTGTGGTGGCGTCTCCAGTAAAGAAAAAAAAGTAAACCCTACAAGGGTGACTGTGTGTACAAGGACAAGCAGGCACCAGTCTGCCTGAGACAGAGCAGACACTGTCAAGCTTTGTAATTCATTTGCCAAAATATGCCTCAGTATTAATACACAAGCCTGGAACACAATTAATCAATACATTTCTAATGATGGAGCCTTCACTTAAATGACAATCACCAATTTCAGGATTTCCATGCAACTACAATAACAATAATAACCTCTTTACCACATTTGACATCAAGCCGGTATTGTAGAGCAAGCCCATCCACAGCATTAATATTTGTACAAGTAAAGACTGTGACCTATGGTGTGACTGTGAGGTATCATTCACATTCCTCTTCATCACCAAACTGTGTGGAAAACCTGTCATGGAAATGCATTTCTGTTTTTCCCCTTGTTCAATGTCACCTGGGGGCAAAGTTTCCAAGACTGACGAGTTTTCCCCAAAATATTTTTCTAAAAGCAAAGCAAAGATCAGGCACGGCCAAGTAGGAGGATCTCATAAGTCACATCTCCTGGACGTTGATTTAAAGAGTGGGCTGTGAAATATTGCTCTTTCCAAGTTATTCCAGGAAAGCTGGGGAACATCTGTGGTCACCTCTGGTTAAAAATGATATTAAATGAGCTCAGTATAAAAGAGAGGAAGAATTATTTAGACGCACACAGAGATGGGATCGCTGCAGTAGTACACCGATTGCGCCAAATAAAAAAAGACTGACAGGCTGCACCATCAGTTCACTGTTGACTCTTCTCAGGGGAATGGCAAATTTACATTGTTCTTGGCTACACCTACATTAGCAGTACCACGGCTAACGTTAGCCATGACAGTGTGTAAATCAGTTACACAAGTACACACTTTATCAACCAAACCTTTCAGGTAAAGACAACAACCCCACTCTACGGAGTAAGCAGCTGTCGGTACTATCATGTTAGAGGACAAATGGCAACTTTAAACCAAGGAGATAACCCAGCTAGCTAGTTAGCATTAAGGTCAGGCACGCAGGGAATTCCAGTAATTTAACTTCCTGTTTGGACAAACGCTTTCAAAACAAAAGCACTAAGCTAGACACGTAAGCACAATCATTCATTAACTTTTACTGAAACTACAATCGTTCATTAAAAACTTAGATAACCTGAAAGAATTTGCAACTAGAGTCTAATATGAGCACAGCAGATCAGATACAAACCATAAAATAAGTTTTTTCAACTGCAGATATTTAAAGCCAGGTGGTAAAGATATTCTCAGCTTCACATGCCTATACAGCCAAATTCAATGAAGACCAACCGAATTTATTTCCATATGCTTATACTCTTCCTAAAATGTGCAGAGTACAAGCCAGACTAAAGGTACGCCTACATGTACTACAAATTAGCGTTAAAACTATAGCCGAGAATAACGAGATTTTAAGCGACATATTTACAGTCGACAAAAGCATTGTCTCACTTCAAATTGCCTTCACAGAGGAAAACGACATCAGTTCAGTCACAACTGTGGCAATGATATGATGTTACATTAAAACACATCACATGCTGAAGGACACTGGTGCTAGATGTCAACACATCGTAGAGACTTATTTTGAAATAATTCACAGTACAGGTCCAAGTGACTTTTACCAGCTTGACAGCTGAACTACAATCTGGTTTGAGGGTTAAAACAACAAATTATCATGTTATTTAAAATAAACTAAACCAACATGTCGAGTCTGTGCAGTTAACGTAACTTTAGCGTAGGTTTGTGTGTTTCTTTTCGGTCAGTTAATTTAGCTCAGCTGTCAGTGGGCAACACCAAAGCTTAAGGTGGCTAATGCTACCGTTAGGCTAACAATGTTAGCATAGCCGGCAAAGAGACAGCGCTCTGCCAGTAAGATGATAAAATATTCATACCTGAGGTTCTGCTAATGTTTCATTTTAGAGACAGTAATAAAAGTCCAATGAAAGTCCATTTGCGGTCGCTAACAATTCGCTAATCCCACAAATTTGAGACGCCAGCGGGCAGCATCGGTTTCGGATGTCAGCTCCTTTCTGTTGGCAGCAGCCGGATGATCCTCTCCCCCTCCTCTGGTTGCATCACCTCAGCATCATCCTCCGTGAAGAGGGACAGTTTACTGCCTCCAGGATGTTTAAATATCCACTGCTTCATTTACTGTTGTCTCTAAATGACTCCTGGAGCTGGACCAGAAGGCTGGTCACACACCTTAAATCACAGAGGAGGAAATGGGCAAGTATTATCCAAGTCACTGGGTAATCAGTAGTATGTGTGGATTAGTGCTTGTCCTCTTGTTGGTTTACATAAATCTCTCACCTTATTTATGATGTATCTCACATCTTAATTATCATCAGATTATTAAATTATGTGGACATATGACTATGTCAGGAGAAAACAGCATAATAGTAATTAGTACACTGGATTTATAAAGAGGACCGAAACAACGCTGAGCCTGGTGAGACAAATTAAAATGAACTGATGAAATCTTTAAATCTGAATTTTTATTTAATACTGAGGAAGGACACAATGCAAAAATAATGTTATCAAGTTTTTATTTACATAAATCATACATACATGACACACTGGTCATTGCTCATCCTATGAATCACTAAGACTTATTGCTTATTTTACATGAATCACAAGCACTGAAGGTTATAGTTTGTGCTATCAGGTGTATACTTGTGGTGATCTGGAAAAAAATGTTATGCAATCAAACAGTATATTTTCACAGAGGTTTGAAAGTAATACTAGGTATGTGGATAATAAACCTGTTAATAACTCAGAAGATTTGGATATGAGTGAATCACTGTGCTTCAAGGGTCCTAGTAGGGAACATTTGATATTTCAGATAATTTCCAGGTGCTATCCTCTCTACAGCAGTGTGGTTTTCTCCTATAAAGGTAGAAGATTACATAGAAGGAATGCAGAAAGCAACACATATACATTAACTCCAGCTGAAGACATCAAACTAGACAGAGTCTAAAAAACAATGTGGCCATAAAACATAAGAAATCCAGACAAAACACAGCTACAAAATTAAAATTAGACACAGCACAGTATACATTCCATGGGTGGAAGCTTTAAGCCTCGCCTTTTCCTGGAATGATTTGCCTTTCACCTCTCGGTACCACCTCCAAAGAAGCACCCATATCTACATGAAAACTAGCTCGGACACCACCAGAAGAACCTGCAAACTGAATAAGGACACTATACAAATCATATAGCACAGAAAGAAACACTTCAAACGGTTAGGTCAACATGCCTGCATGTTGTTGTGTGATAACTACAGTTTTCAGTCTCATACTATTAAATTCTGTACAAAATTAAGAGAGTGTAAACATCAGGGTAACTGAAATGTCCTATTGGTCATCAGCAGGGAAACATTGGCACAGGTGAGCTTTCATCCAAGTCAAACACTTCTGGGAAATAAACATGAAACATATATGTGCATTCATCCAACCATTCATCCATCAGACATCCACAGACAAAAATCCCCCTCTGTGAATATGGAGCTAATGTGCACAGTGGCAGGACGGGGGCGGGGGGGAAATATTAAAGTACAGCATGAATGCTTCTTGAATTTTAAATTAAATTAAAAAAAAAAAGTGATATATATTTTTTACTGACACAGCAGGTAAGCTTGTAAGTAAACATACACATTGTATCTCAAACAGAATTGGCTTTTGTTATGGAGGCTGTTTCCAGTTTACAATGTGTTGATGGTTCCCCCTGGTGGATAAATCAAGCGTCTTCTCAGTGAGGCAGCCGGACACGACTGCTCCACAGCGTCCACCTCAATAAGCAGCTGGCATTTTCCCTCTGAACACGACATTTATGGACAAGCGCGTGATATTCCTGTTATACTTCAGTAGAGAAGAGAAGGCTTTGACGTTTGCTGTCAGGTGTTGGGATGCTCTCCAGCTGAAGGAAGTAGAGAAGGACTTGAACCTATGGAAACACAGAAGAGGTGATCAGAACCTCACAGGTATTCCAGACATCACTGTCCCACTGTCCTGACAAGAGTTTTACCTGAGCCATGACCTCTAGAGACCAGCTGTCGTTCATGGAGATTGGCTGTGAGCTGTTTGAGATCTTGCTGTCCTTTTCAGAGGGTCGAAGCAAAGTGGGACCAAAAACTGTGGCCAGATTGTGCAAAGACATTTTGTTGATGCTCTCATTTTCAGCCACCCTGTAAAGGTAATGTGAAAAAAAGTAAAAATGACATTCAACCTATAGATACTCAAAATCATCACACTGTAGAATGAATAGCTGCTTTTTCCATGGTCAGTAGCAGACAGTATCTGCATTAAACTATACAACCAATACAAATACACAATAATTCAAACAATGTATTCTAACTGAAGTTGTTCACCTCTTTAGGTGGTCAAGCAGGAAGAGGAAGGTGACCAGATTGGGCTCCGGTAGAGACAGCAGCAGGTTGAGCATACAGCTCTCCTTGGCCACGCTGTCAGAGAGAGCTGCAAGGCAGATGCACAAATGAATGTGTTGGTGTCACAATTTGCAACTGAATTTATGCATTTATGCTGAAACTGATGCAATAATAAAGACTCGGCAGCTGACCGATTCCTCCAGCAAAGTTGGGGTACAGCTCATCAGTGAAAAGAGGCTCCGGCAGCTCGCGGAAATACAGCTTTAGTGTTCCAGCTATGGCGTTTACGTCCATCTCCCTCATCATGACAGACACGTCCTTGTTGTCTGTGCAGCAGATGAGACAACAGTCACTGATTATCAAACAATACTGAGGACAAGCTTTGAAAGTCACATCTGAGCAGGGCGTGAATCAATCCTGCAGGGCTCTGTCTTTAGCATTGTCTGCATGTGAAGTTTCTCTTCAATCATTCTGTGCTGTATTTTTCCCACATGTGTCAAATCACTTTTGAAAACAAATCAACTTCAGACTGAACTCACTTGAATCAAACGCAGCCTTCAGCGCCTGGATGTCAGTTGCGACGCCAGACACTCTGTAGATTCCGACCTCCTCCATCCCTCGTCGCTCGATCTCCTCCACACATTGTCTCACAATGAGGGGAACCTTGGAGCGCTCTCGCCTGGTGAGGACACAGTCGCACAGACACAAGTTTTAAAGGTGCAAATTGCAATTAAACACATCATACAGTATAAACGCTGTAAACACAAGAGGTCACAGTGACCATGACCATGTGACCATGAAATAAGTGAAGCCTAGACCATGTCACTACAGGAGCTTTGTTAATATGCTTTTTACACAATGCATATTTTGTCATGTTGCAGTACGACAAGCACAAGTGTAAATAATAAGATTACTAATCAGACTGGGACACTTACTGGGGACACTTGAACAGAACAAAATCATCTTTACTGTAATTGGTAACACCTGTGCTTTTCCTGCAATAACAAGTTAAAAACGTCTGCTGTGGCTTACAGACCAAAGTTAGTTTTCAGTGAGCTCGGGCAGCATTCCTCTCACATCTACATGTTCAATCAATGAAAGTTCAAAAATTCTGACCGAAACAACCAAAAAAAGACCTTAAAAAGACACACAGACATCATATGTTGACTAAATGAGATGTATAAAATATCAGAACTGCAACACACACAAAACACATATCAACAACTCACTTAGTTACTACATTGATTTTCACTCCGAAGACACCGGATTGTTTCCGTGAAGGCATCCTCTTCAGACTAAACTCTCTGCTGGCGAATTTCATGGACAGCTTCACCTCAATCTGAAAGGAAACAAGTACAGGAAACCAGTTACTTTCAACAACCGCTGTGTGTGCTCATGTTAGCTTACAAACCTGAAAACTAGCATATGTATGCTATGCTTTGCCAGACAGCAGACACTGTGGCTACAAGTGACTTTAACAGGATGATGATAAATGTTACACATAGTGTAACAGCAGAGTCAAAAAACTGACTTAGTACTGCCAGGTTCACAGTAGTAGCTATCTAAAGTCTGCTAACTGTAGCATGACAGTAGCGACCACTGCAGACCAGCTAAGGCTTCAAGCAAAACTCCTGAGGGTATTAAACTGAGCTGAATGTGTTATTGCTTTCATTTGTAAGAGGGAGACTGTGTTTTTTTATGTTACTTGACTTTTCACTTTAATGCATGCATTTGTGTTTTCATTTATCAAAAAGTTAGCACTGTTAGAACCAATCCACCCACTTCTGTTGGACAGTACGATCAACGTGATATTTAGTGGTTGTGTCTCCATTTTATAAACTCTTGCAGTTGTTAAAAAGTACAAGATTTCATATTAAAAGCTTTAAGGCTGCCTAACGCCCACATTATTCAATTCACAAATTCATGAAACCTTCATTTCATTGTCAAAACAAAAAAGGAGATTTCACCGGTTTACACATCAGACCAGGTCTAGCTCAAAAACCACTTAGCAGATCTGTACTAGATTAACAAATAGACTCCAAGGACTGTTTAAAACACAGTTCCAGATTTGTGAAATTTGTGATTTCTATTTGTGAAAACAAAAAACATCACAGCTTTTTTTTATTTTGCATTCAGACCACATACCAGTAGGTCTAGATCAAAATGCACTACATGTGGACTTGTCAAACCTGGACTAGAAAAAACTAGAATTGCCTTTTTCTTTTTTGAAAAATAAAACACTAGTTAGGCACAAAATTTTAATACCATTTTTCCCTTAAACTCCAAATCAGAAGCTGTGTTTAACATTGTCAGTTTTGCCACTTTTCACTGGGTTGCTGAAAGCACTTACCCCATTCATGGTGATGACCGTCCTCTGCCAGTCTTTGTTCTGCAGCGTTTGTGGATCCAGCTGAAACAAAATAAAATACACATTTTTTTATTTCAAATGTCACTTCAAAGAGTAAAAAACCAGGAAATATTTAAACCACATCAGCTTTTAAGTGAGATGAGCACTATGATTATATAAAAAAACAAAAGTGAACACACTGAGAGTTTGGTTTAGTTTCTGTGCAGGTAGATACATGTAG